GAAAGCTTCTGTTTTCGCAATTATCTGGGTAATAAGCAGTGATGGGAAAGGAAACGGGAGAAAATGTATGACAGCTTAATGAGGCTTCAGTGACAGTTTGCTGGAGTGTGGAAGTGCCTCTCTCCAAGCCTTACTTTGCTTGCTCAGCATCTGTCAGCAAGCGAACAAGCTCACTTTCAAAAGGGAGGCTAGTACTTTGGGATGGCCCATCCATCAACACTCCTAACCATTTGGAACCACAGAGCAACACTAATACTGTACAATGAGACTGGTAAAGAAGGGGACGGGAGGAAGAATAGATATAAGAGAGATGGAATTCAGCAGTGGAGGGAAAAACCCTCCATTGACAACCTTTTTAAAATACCATTGGTAAATCCTGGGTCTTGCTTATTTTGTTTTGAAAGGGGCCTTGCAGATCCAGCTCATTATTACTGCAGAGTGAGACTCAACAAAACGAGCCTGGCTTTAAATCTCTGCAGTGGAAAGGAATAAATCTTGGCACATTAGGATCTCTGAATCGCACATGCAAATTTCTCCAATGCATGGGCCTCTCATATATAATGGGATACTTTTTCTGACGGGAATCCCTGGACGCTCCAGCCTTGAATATTCTCCAGCCCAGAAGCAGAAGCTACTGACTGAGGACAGCAAAAATACAAATCATTTAGGTCCCTACAACAAAACACTTTACTTGAACTGGACAATTAGCATTTTGTGAGGCTACTTAATCCACAAGTCAATACTTTGGCCTCAGGAGGGCACATTTTTCATGTGGTTTGCTCCCACTGGAGGTTATAAGAGATTCAAAAGCAAGAATTGTGCTGTTTTCATTAGGAAAATATTTCAGGCATTTTAGGTGAGATGGCAATGAGTGGAGATTCAAACACTGGAAATCTGCAAATATTTCATCCAGATGTTTGGGAAAGGGCTTTCATTAATGATGCATTTAAAAAATGCCTGTCTCTCATTTTATTGCAAAATATAATTGTGTTAACTCTGGTGCTACTAGTGAACCCACTGTTCCACTACTCATGACTACCGTGAACCCTCAAGGCTTTGGCTCTGAATGTAGGCAACTGGAACAGCATCTGTTTGATATTATTACTATATTAGAACAATAAATCTTTTCTCCATTTGCTTTCCTGCGCTTGGATGCATTCCATTTTATGAAGTGTGTCTCCTTAGCCAGCCATTATTTGATAGGACAGATGCTTCTGTAAAAGAACTGATCAATGATTGTTATATGAATTAAAAAGCATCTTTGTAAGCCAGATGAGCCATATACCCAATCAACCAGCTTCCATTTTGGGCAATCTGGAAAGTGTTCTTGCAAAATTTTTAGCATTAAGAAACAAAAAAACCGCAGGTAAAAGAAAAAAAGAGTTCCAACATATATACCCACCATAGACAAAAATACAAATTTTGGATTTATCCTGGGAACATCACTTTCCCCAGGATCATCCCATGACTAAATTCAGAGCAGACCTTCCAGAGTTCAGGGAAATCACACCCTCTCACAAGTAAAGGTATCCTTACAAACTCAGATTCACTACAATAAGAAAGCACCCTCATGCCATTTCTTAACAGGCAGCCATTTTCTGCCGCATTTTATGACCTCGCAGAGTTCATATTAGGTTTACATCCAACTGTTTAGGTGGAAATTCAAAACCAAATGCATCTGTCAGATTTGAATCTGACAACAAGGGTTACAGTAGCTCAGAAGCTAAATTTAAGCCAACAGTGTGATGATGTTGCAAAAACTGGGTTACATTAACAGCAGAATCTCTTGCAAATCAAGGGAAGTAATTCTTATAATCTCTTCAGCACTGATAAGGGCTCACTGGCAGTACTGCATTCAGTTTTGGAAGATTATAAAGAGGACAGAGCTAGATTTTTCTCTGGGATTATAAGGGACAGGACTAGGAGCAATGGCCTCAAACTACAGCAGAGGAAATTGAGGTTGGAGGTTGGAGATTAAGAAGAACTTGCTGAGAGTGGTCAAGCACTGGGACAGGCTACCTAGAGAAATTGTGAAATCTCCACCCCTGGAAATTTTCAAGAGCAAGTCACTTGACTGGGGCGCTTTAATTAAGGATATTCCTGACTTGAGCCAGGGGCTGGACTAGATGACCTCAAGTGGTCCTTTCTAGCCATACTTTCCTATGATCCTAAGAACACAGTTCAGCACAGGGCTCCCACTTTTGACTATGTCATAAGATGTGCACTAAAAATAACAGAAACTATTAAAATGATCTTAACAGTGGTGATGAGAATTCAGTTCAATACACACTTTCACCCAGCCATCTCAGAAGAGTAGATTTCCCCCCTGCAACCCACTGCCAGGTAAGTATCTCTGCACTGTGTGGAGGAGATTTTCGGAGTCTGGGCTTATTCATCTAATTTATCCTAGACAACAAAGGCAAAGGCAGAGCCAGGAATGCAGCACAGGACTCTTGGCTCCCAGTATGTTTTTTAAATCACTGGATGGCACTGCTTTACAATGTCACTCCCCACGAGCTGGGAGCTGCCTGTTCCATGGAGAAACAGTCCCTTCTTCCCTTTTTCTGGGATTAGCCTATTGAGCCTCACCGTAGCAAAACAATAGCTAATCTTTCCTCCAACTGCTAGCACAGGAGAGGCATACTGTCTGGAGGCACGTTTTGGTGGGAGAAGTGGCAGACAAGGAGTGGGGATTTGCCTGTCTTTTTTGTTTTGTTCTTGAAGTACATGTGACAGTGGCAGCTGAATTTGTATCCTGCCTATTCAGCAAATGTTGCATTCAACATCATGAATGCAAATCCCAGAGCCAGATTTATGATGGGTGGGTCCATTATCAAGGCTTTTGTACCATACCCTCCTCTATATCCAAAGAAGCAGTTCCTGAGCTACCCTCTGATCTCACTGCCAGGTGAAAAGACAAGAATTTAGGGAACATCCTTTCTCAACAATGCTCACTGGAAGTTGTAATTAAAATAGGAAGGATTATTTTAAACAGCCTAACACCCTGTTCAGCTTACAATTACTTTTACTCCCTTGAGATTTCACAGCTGTGCGTCACTAGTTCTCTAGTCACCAATCTTCCTCATTAGGCAGGATGGAAATTTCTATTATAAAAAAACAAACGGTAAAGACCCAACTATTTTAGCCAAGCTTCTTTATCCACAACAGGGAAACAAAAAAAAAAAGAGCACAAGCTCCAGTTTTTCCCCACTTTGTACATCTTCACTAAATATTCCTGACACACTTATCAATGTAGTGATCATGTTATAATATTATGTACTGTGCTTTATATCTGCTAGTCTAAGACTTATAAAGCTGGGTAGCAATTATTATCCCCATGTCATACATGGGGAAACTGCAACAATAGTGCAGGTGAAGTGCCTATGGCCACACAGTGGTGTGAGATCTGAGTAAAACTTTCATTGACTTCAGCGTGGCCAGAATTTCACCTCTTGTCTCTTGACTCCTTGATCTGAGTACCCACTTCCACTAGACCCTGAGATAGTAATGTAAATTTGTTGTTGTACTATCATAGTCCATAAAACACTCAATCTATTTCATAATTTGCTTCAGTAACTGTAAATGAACAGTCCTGAACTCCTACTGCTTATCCCCTCTTCAATTCTTTACCCTTTACTGGGCCATGGGAAAGACTATTTGTAAAACTCTTTTTGTGCAAATGGTGGGCATTGCCACTAGCACCCTGAAGAACAACCTAATGGGTGACTTAACCCTAGTGCTGGGGAGGCAGACACACCGAAACAGGCTGCTGGAGACAAACAGAAAAGGGTGGGATGCAATTTGTTCTCAATAATCAACGTGGCTCCTTCAAATACAAAGGACAAGCCAGCGTGGAGCAGCTTGTAAATCAAGCATGCAGGAGAACATGCTGCAGCACTCTGTGGTTTCTGATTAATGTTGTCTGTGCTGAGCAGAGCTTGAAAATGCTCCTCGAGAGGTTAGGCCTTTTCCAATTTTTTTTCAAAATAACTTTCCTTTCTCCTACAGCAAATCATGGAGATTTTAATGCACAGTCCTCTTTCCAGGAAGGGCAAACAAATATACTGCCAAGCATGTCCATAGAGGCAGTGAACAGCAGCTCATAGATTTTTCCATGTTGTGGCCCCATGTTGCAATGGGAAAAAAGGGTTCTTGGATCTGCCTTCTCCTCCCAGCTAGCCTTGAAGAAAGGGGCAGTGGTCATCGCTGATCACAAATCTACCAAATGGCGATGACCCTAAGGTTGGGAACCCAAGGACAGCAAAAACTGACCTGATCTACAAAAGAAATCTAGATCCAAATTCAGGAAGGAGAGCAGGGAATTGAACCTCAGTGCCCCGAGTTCAAAATCAGCACCCTAAACACTGGATTATCTTTAACCAGTGTCCAATATTTCCATTTCGTGTGCACATCTTTTCCTTTCTTCTTCCTGCATCCCTTTCCTCCTCCTATCTCCCACAATTTCACACCCTTTACCAGGGGCTTTGATTCCAAGCCCGTTTCAAAGTTAACATGAGCTATAATCTAGGCAGTATATTCACATCTCTCTGGATAAATTCCAAGCTGGTCTCAGATTCCTGCACAAAGTCATGCTCTGTTTTCAGTTTGAAGGTTTTCTCTACAACCACAAAAGGTAGAAATTTACCTTAAAAAAAAAAATCTCAGATTCTGAATATGTGCTATATATTTCTCTATACATGCTGGAGGCCAGATACAGTCCAGGGACTATATAGTCAGCACCTCTAAGCTTGGTGTATGTACAGGAAATGGTTATAAATAATCAAGTCCCCATCTCCGTTTTCTAAGATCATAAATAAATTTGACATGGAGTGTTCACACACAAAGGGTTATTCCCAGACCACCCATGAGATTTGCATTTAAGTGGATTTTCTTTGCTTGACTCTCAATTAAGCTAATGTTTACTTCCAGAGAGGCTTAACTTGGTTTTCTTTCTTTAAATGGAAGGACCTAAGAGGAGACATACACAAATTTTCACTTACTTGTTAGCAACTGCTTGCATAAACTCATCAATCAGGTCGTCGTATTGTTTCCCACGTACCCGCTTGTGCTTCAGTCCAATGTAAAGTGGATCATTCAGGAGAGCCTATGACACAAAGCATGCTGTTTACAGTGCCAGGTCCACAGCTGGAAGGAGATGACCCTCAAGGCCTTCCCAAAACGGCTGTCACATTCCTGTCGCATTTAATCACTGTCCCTAAAACAACCGAATGTAGCTGGCTTGTCCGGTTTCTGCGCCATGAAGCCCTCCTCTGACCATGTCAACACACAGAACAAGACAAAGCTTGAGTTCATTATCTATAAACCCGCTCTGCAAAGTGTTGTATTGTGGAAACACAGTCACAAAATGTGGTGCTCTTAGCACTATGTGGGATTCTCTGTCCACAAAACAGGAACAAACTCAGGCCACTATTCTTCCCCTGCCAAAGTGTTTTACAGTTTAGGAGCAGGACAGCCAACATGAAGATCAGTGGCTAATCTCAAAGAAGGATTCAAAACCCTTTGCTCCCTGCTTGAACAATTTAGTCCTCAACGCCAGCTCTGTATGTGAACGTAGGCAGGCTATTCTCTCACCAAACAGTAACTTGATTTTGCTGCCTTTTCTAATTCCAATCTCGGAGCCTATCCTGGGGCTGAAGAACGCTCTGATTGTTGTTTTCCAACCAGACCAAAACCGTTCTACATTGGGACCTGCATCCTGTCGCAGGCAGACAGGAAGTGATACCTCCAAAAGTGCCCGTTCAGCAGAGAAAGGAACCGCACTCTGGAAAATGCGACAGGAAAAATGGGAGCAGAAGGCAGGTGGGACATTCAGAGGGATGTTTTCAATGTTGCACTGAGGAACTGAATCATCTCTTATGGCGGGGGGCTCCCACTGGAGCCTGATTGTCCTGTAGACTTATAAAATGTAAATGTTGGCCGGTACGCTAAAACTAAATCTGTCTTCAGAGCCACAGAATTACAGCTGTTTTCCTTTAGCAGGAAATCTGACAGGGGTTTTCCTCTATTCCTGATTCAGTTCTTCTTCTAGGACATACATTTACAGGAAAAAAACACACATTTGTGTTCACAGATTCACAGACGTTTAGGGCTGGAAGGGACCTCATGAGATCATCGGGTCCAGCCCCCCTGCTCTGGGCAGGAAAGACTGCTGGGGTCAAATAACCCCTGCAAGGTGTGCATCCAGTGCATCCAGACACCCTCATGGTGAACATTAAGTAGTGTGGCATTGACACCACAAATTGGGTTAGCTTACTGCACTTTACCACGGCTGTAAGGACTCTATCACCAGTCCCTGCAACTGTTGTGTGCTATCACGAGCCATTTGGGCGATCCAAATTCTGAAAACCCTAAGTTATTTCTCCCAAAGTATGTGAAAGTCCTCAGAAAAGTACAGGCAAGAAGAGACCTGGAATGTATAACTTAAGCATAAAACTCACAAACAAATAATTTTAAAATAGGTTGTTTTTTTTTAACATGATAGTGGTTTGAGGCCAAATTTGCAAGCCAGGACTTCCTGAGTTTTAACCTCAGGTCTATTTGACTGACTCTCCAGTTGCTGCTTTGAGAGAAATTACTTAGACCTGATTTTTCAGTAATAGCCACTCATTTGGTTTTCTGTATTTTTGAGTACCCAGCATAGGACACTTGGTTTGGGTTTTAAAGAGGCGATGGGAACACACTGCAAATTAGGTCCCTGAGTATTAAGCATCTTTACAAAGCCAGTCTGTTGATTCAGGTTTCTGTCTTTTGGTATGCACGTTTGGAGGCGTTGAGGTTTCTCCCAAGGATCATGTGCTTTGATTGTTTATGCTCAAATGAGAAACAAATACATTTTAAAAGCTTCTTGTGTATTTGACAAGGCCTGGCCACAACAAATAACCATAGAATATTCACTTTAAAAACACATCCTCACAGATGTCCATTCTGGCACAGCTAAGTGGTTGCAGTTCAGCTCTGCTGAGCCAGCGTCATAAGGCGAAAACTGCTAACAGATGGATTCCTTCTGCCCTCTTATCATGTGCAATCAGACAAAACACTGAACTTAATTAATCCCAAACCACCCAGTGAGGATCCTTCATTTGCTGAAATACAATTGCCTCCATACAGACGTAGATGTGTGTCCATTTCCTCATAATTGTCACAGGAAAAGTAAATCTGTGTCTGCCCGCCTGAGGTCTTTTAACTCACCTTATCATGCTGAAAGATGGAGCTGACCCTTCAACTCCAGCTGGCAAAGCTCCACCTCAGGCTTTTCATCGGGGCATATGAGGATATTCAGTGCTTGTGTGAACTCCTAACATGAGCTAGAGTTTCTTAGCTATCCAGTTGGGAGTGCAAGCTGGCAACTTCCTTGCTCTTATCTGTGATGTCTTTGGCTCTAACTCCAGATCTAAGACCCAAATCTCAGGCCTTTAAATAAAGCTAGCTTCACATACACATACATGCACACGAAGACAATAGTTTTACCTCATTGTCTGTGCCAACATCAAGCAGGACAGGGAGACACTGTTGCGGGTGAACGCCACTGCAGGCAGTGTACAAGGCGAGCTTCCCCACTGGGATTCCCATGCCGTAGCTGCCCAGATCTCCTAGGCCCAAAATTCTCTCTCCATCAGTCACCACAACAGCCTAAAGAAATCAAACGAGTTGCATAACTTTCCCAGTGCTTTATTTAGCCCTGTTATGGAGAGTGGAAGGCTGACAATGCAATTTTATAGTGACAGCCTGGGATGGAAGATTATTACCATACTGAACATTTGGGATAGAAAGGGATCGTGGAATTCTGAGTCCACCCAAGGTTAAATTCCCCCACCACATATTCCCACGGGCAAAGGCACAGTTCCTCAGCTGTGCCACTAGAAATGCAAGAAACAGATGCGCTGTCCTCCTTTCTACAGCACTACAGGGAAAGAGCTCTGTACAGACGTAGCAGATCATGATCCTTGCAGCCAGCAGCACATGGCAGAGAGCAAAGTGAGACCAACTAGAATGCGTAATACTGTTTTTTGTATCATTTCTGTTGGGTGAGGGATGAGTGAAATGGCAGCATTGACTCTGCAAGAACAGACTGAAAAAAGAGAGAGAAGGGGAGGAAAGCACAGAGACATTCAAAAAGGCGAGGGGAAGGAAAGAAAGATCAGAGCTGGGCTGGAATGGGCTGACAAGCAGGAAGAAGACAGACACCTCCACACTGCAAGGCAGACATATCCATGGATGTAAGGGCGTGGTGATGAGCTGAACTGGCCTTATGTTTTAAGTCTCTGGCACTGATGTCCTTGCACATCATCCCAAAGGGAATTTCTTATGCTGGGACATGTGTGTGCATGTGTGTGTGCTGGTGGGAACATCCTGCCAGAGGGTAACTGTGATGCACAGACTTGGAAGGCGTGAGAGTGAATAATTCAAGAGGAAAAAAAGAAAAGCCAAATCCAAGAGCAAGAAAACCAGAAGCAAAAAGGAGGGAAGGTACACAGAAAACGGCTGGGAAAGAGAAAGAGTACAGACAAGCAGGGCCTCAGAAATAAACAATTCCTACTGTATAGATCCAAAAAACTTTGGGTAGCTCCAGCAAAGAAACGTTAACACCACAGAAGATGGTGCCTCTGACAGATAAAACTAATGTGACACCACAAAACTGACACACTGCAAGCTCTACAACCCAGTATTTATATTTTCATAGTGCCATAAATATAAGTGACACTACAGTAGGCCATCATCAGCAATCCCTCTCAGTCAAGGATGATCGTCTTGCAGAATTCCCTTATCTGTGGGTCCAAAGATGGCTGACAAGGCCAATCCAGGACTGACACGTTCTACTGCAACTGGGGCAGGTGTTTCTGCAAGGCATGGGGGGCTCTGGTTTTTATGGTTTGGTTCATGACACGCTGTTTCTGCCGCTCCCACTTTTCCATCTCCTGTTGTCATCGTGACGTTTCAGAGTACTGAGATTCTTGCAGCAGACTCTTCCTCTATTTGGGGAGGTCCTGGGCAATAGTCCCCCCAGGAGTTGATATCGATGTTGCATTTTTTCAAGTTGGCCTTGAGAACGTCCCTGAAGTGCTTCCTCTTGAGCATATGCCTTGACTGAGCTAAGAGAATAAGACTTGCTTCAGGAGTCTGGAGTCGGACATCTGGATGATGTGGCTGTCCCAGCAAAGTTGTTTTCGGACTAACATTGCCTCAATGCTTGTGGTGTTTGCTTGCAAGAGGACACTTAATGTTGGTGCATCTGTCCTCCCACTGGATTCAAAGGCTCTTCCGCAGGCAGTGTTGATGGTACTTCTCCACAGACTCAAAGCATCTTCTGTACATTGCCCATGTCTCAGATCCATACAGTAAGACAGGGATCATGACTGTCTGATAAACCATGATCTTGGTTTTAAATCTGATTTCATGATCTTTGAACACCCGTAACAGCCCATTATACTAGGTATAAAATATGCCATTCCACAATCCAGTCCTCAAGTGGGAGCAGTGAAATGAGCAGAGGGGGAAGAGATTTCCTAGCAGGAGGGCTTACAGATGAGGCTTCCAAAGACACCTGAAGAATGGGAAGGCACTCGGTGCAGTGGAATGGGAGGCTGCTCTGAATATAAAGGGAGTCAAGGACCTGAGGCAGTGAAGTAGGGAAGGGTGTCCACAGCCATCAGGAGAGTGTCACGAGCACAGTGCAGACAGCAGGGAGAAGAGGAATGAGTGAAGAGCTCTGAAGGAGATGTGGGAGCTGCATGCCAAAGGAGAGGTTATTCTCTAGGGTCAAATCCTGCAGTTCCTACTCACGCAGAACTCCCACTGGAGTCAAAGCTGGTTTGTTCTGAACAAGGACTGCAGGATTTGAACCCCATGAGAAGTGCTTCACCCTGGAGATAGTGCTCTTCAGGTTTACGTGGCATCAGGAGAGCATGCAGATGAAGCACACAAACTTCTGCCCAAGGAGGACGTGTTGCCCTGGCTGAGGTGAGACAGACACCTCCTACTCTGGCTGGAAGCAGTGAAGGTTCACATGGTCCAACAAAGTAAGATTTCAAGTGCAACTCAGATGGGACATGAATGGCAAGGAAGGTCAGACTGGATGCAGAGGAGCAAGCTGGTGATTGGCGGGGGGATGAGCAGGATCCCAGCAAGGCCCAGTGGGAGCACAGAAGCACAGGACTCTGGATCTAGAGTGGCAGTGGCAGGCTGTACTCAGGCATAAGTAAAAGAAAGGGCAAAGGATTATTAGTAATTTCTGGCAAAAGGATTACTCCACCCTTGATCTAACACATGTAAATCAAATGAGAGTGGGAGTCATATTAGAAGAGTGAGCGTGCAACCAAAACAGATGGAACCATGTCCACTCAAAAGGAGCCTTACCGCACTCTGGTTAACGCTCATTGCTGCTTTACAAAGAGAGCCACAGGGGAAAATCTCCCCAAATGGTGTTGAATAAATGCATTTGCTACAGAAAAAGCACTGCTGTTTTCCCTTAATTACCTTAATATTGTATACTATTATTGTATACTATAATATTGTATATTATTATTGTATACACTTGATCCATCTCCTACCACCTACTCCACCTCTTACTCCACCCTTGATCTAACACATGCACCTACCAGATGTCTCCCTAGATAAAACTTTGAAGTGGGCTAACATTTTACACATACACAGGAATGGCTAGGTTATGTTAAGATGGTTCAAGTTGGCCTAATTTAAAAGTCACATACTTTTGCTCATTCAATATACAGTATCTCTCTTCACTGAACAGAGCTTGCTATCAGAACATGCCTTAGTCCTTGCAATATGATTTTACTTGTGTCCCTGTACATTGATCGCAGGTCCCCTCCCAGAACTGACCCAACTGGTGGTCTACTGACATTAACTGATCCTTAAATCATGATGACTGTGTTTATAAAAATAATACTTTCCATTCACTTATAGTGCCTGTCAGCCAAGATTCCCATAACATTTTGTATGTATTCGCAAACTTTGTCAGTGAAGAAATCTTGGGTCAGTATTCTTGCTCCTGTTCCAGAGATGGGGAAACTGAAATATGCAGAGGTTAAGTGACTTGATTAAGCTCACACCAGAAGTCTGTGGCAGAGCTGGGAATGGACACCTATTTTCTTGGCTCCTGTTCTCAAGACATCAGCAAACGGTTCTCCTCTTCATTTTATTTTTGTTCTATCCTCTTTTACTTTTGTCTTCTCTCTCCTTCAGATGCTAGCAGCAAACCATGTAGTGGGTCTATGTCTATAATGGACTAATTTACCTTGACTGAACCAATTGCTAATTGACTTGTGGCACTTGACACACATGTGTCAAGGCTACTCTCAGCCCTGCCCATGTGATCACTACCATCTGCTTCCCAGGGTAGTGCTCATCTGATTGCAAGTGCCTCTTTATCGGATGGGTCGTTTTTTATCTTTCGGAACCTTATAATGCTCAAAATCTCTCACAGAAAAGGGATAAAGAAATAAAAGCATGATCAACATTTTCAAAATCAGACACCTTATGTTACACTATGATGATCTAGCAAGCTTTGATCTAAGTTAACTAGCTTTAGGCTAGCTCCCTTTTTTGCCAGTCTTATCCCAAGCATGCAGTATTCCTCCAAGACAAAACAAAGTCAGTGAGAACAGAAAGATATGGCAGAGCTGCCCTGATGTAGAAAAAACATGTTAGTACAGTGACAAGTCCAATGCTTCCATCTCTGGCCATGAATTTCAGGGCAAGAAGCCTTCAAACCCAGATCATGTGGATTATTTGCATGAGGGTGACCTAATGTTGGCTTGGCTATCAAAGGAGAAGTCTGTGGAGAGGTTCTTTTTATTTACTGATCTGCAGAGTTAATGCCTGAAGAGCATACACTCACGTGTACTTTTTAGAAGAAACAAGAGAATGGAGGATTAGACATTATCTCAACAGATTTACTAATTTTGGTGAGGAATAAGAAAGATGGGTGGGATTGTTGCTAGGGCACATAACTTTTGTACTCAGGAAGACAATTTTTCAGGTTCAGGAGGATTTTTGGTTGTGGATTTTTTTTAGCATATTTCAGATAATTAAAGAAAGATGCCATGGGAGGTTTTATACTTGTGTCACATGGCTTTAGTTTCACTGCTGATGAATAGTCAAACATTGCTATTCAAAAGAAGCAATGTACATCTCTCCAGGACCTTGTTGTTCTGTTTTTCACTCCATTAAAAATGACTGGTTAACTTGAGGGAGAAAAGAATGACACAGAACTAGTCCAGGGATAATCACAGGAGGAGTGGGAGCAAGGAGGATGATAAAGATCCACAAGACAAATGTACCTGTATTTGCATTTTGCCTCCCTAGCAAATGCTGGTGTGCTCTGTCATATAGATCATGTGAAAGGCATCCAGAAGTACCTACAGTGTTTGCTCTTTTGTTGCTGAGAATTGCCAGCTCCTTGTCACTAGGAGCTAGGGCCTCCCAAAACAAAATTTCCGTGCAAATGCATTAAAATGAACAACACAGCTGTAGATCCACCACAGACTATATGGCAGCTGGATCAAGTGTATACAATACCATTATAGTGGCAAGATGGTAATTAAGGGAAAACAGCAGTGCTTTTTTCTGTAGCAAATGCATTTATTCAACACCATTTGGGGAGATTTTCCCCTGTGGCTCTCTTTGTAGACCAGCGCTGAGCGTTAACCAGAGTGGGGTAAGGCTCCTTTTCAGTGGACATGGTTCCATCTGTTTTGGCTGCATGCTCACTCTTCTAATATGACTCCCACTCTCATTTGATTTACACTGAAATCAATCCAAATTTTATGCGAGCAACATAACATTTCTGTTATATTGTTGTTTAAAAAGTCAGAACTAACCAAATCATCTTCCGGAGCCACAGATCCTGTTTTGTGTCCTCAACAAAGCATGCAGAGCTTCATAGGTGATGCATAGGGCCCCCCCTGCAATTGGCCCTTGCCAGCCGGGGAGTGGGGTGCGCCGGCCGGTGCCTGCCCTGAGAAGTGCCAGCGGCACTTCTGGTTTTCCCAGTGGCACTTCCAGTTTGCCCCCAGTGCTTCTGGGGTCAGCAATTGGCTGCTGAGGGACTCCCACACCCCGTCGCTCATGCAGAACTTCCCTTTTCACTTTGTAAATTTGTTATATAATTTTGTGCATCCCAGATTTGTGAAACCAGAGTGAGTGTTGTATCCACTAGACACAGATGCCAAGGACTGAAAAAAGTAAAAGCAGCAGAAACCTGCAGGTAATTTGCTGTGCTGTGTGAACTGCAGAGGAGATATTTGACCCAAGAATGTGAAGCACTTTGTAATAAGACAAACTATATGGACAAGAGCAACAGGTATGCTAGTGTGGAGTCCTTCTTTGTATGACACCAAGTAAACAAAGCTCATCTTCTCTAGCTGAGGAGGACAGTCCTGTGACAGCTACAGGATAACGAAGCAAAACTTTGGGGTTCTATTGATTGCTCTGCCACACACTCTCTCAGTGATGTTGGGCAGCTCACAGTCTGTCTTCTGGCTAGGGACAGTCATTACACATAAACCAGTTTAAGTGACCAGAAACTGGTTTAAACCTCTAACAGAACAGATGTTCAGTGCACATAAACTATTTTGAAAATGGCTAAAACCAGTTTCAGATAAACCTGGTTGAATGTAGTATCAGACTTAACTGATTTGGTTCAAACTGGTTTATGCAATCTCTGTCTTAGACCCTTTTCTGGTTTCAGTTAAATCAGACTCCCTCAGCATCCCAGCATGCTCTCTGGGCTGGGTAGGGCTCTCTGCTCCACAGCAGGGCTGGTCCTACCCCCCTGCTCCCTGGCCAGAGCTCTGGCAGAGACTGCAGGTACAACAGGGTCTGCTTGGCTTCTCTGTACCCCAACCCCCCTTGCTACTTAAGCAAGGAACACCCCCTTTCTCCCTCCCATCTCCCACAGCATGGGCCCCAGCCCCATGGACCCTAGGCACGTGGTATGCTAGCTAATGCTGAGAGGTGTCTGTGTGTGTGTCTCCAGTTTCACTGGGACTGGCAGACAAAACAGTGACCACTCAGGGTTTTTTGGAGCTAATCACCAGGTCAGCTGTAACTTGGAAAAAGCTGTTTAAGAAGAGCTTGAAATAATGGAGAGAGGCTCTTGTTTTGCGGATGGGGTGACAAACACTGTTATCAGCCCCCTGCTGTTGCTTGCCTGTCAGTTTGCTGCAGACTGTATAAAGAAGCAGGGAGGGAGATTGAAAAGCTCTGTATCATCAACAGATGCATGCACAGCCCACCCCTCCCCACCTTGCCTCAGAGTGCTAGTCCAGGGCTGGGGTCTGGCAACACTCCTGCTCCTTGAGCAGCCAGCAAGGAAAAGCCTGGGATGCAGAGATCCTGCCCAGACTTGGACAGCGCCCCCCTCTCCGCCCCCCCCCCCCCCAGGTCAGCACTTGAAGGGAAGGGAGGGCTGGTCTAGTGCCCCATGGCTTCTAGCCTGAGGCACTGCAGGCATGTGCCTGAATCTCCTCAGTCCAGAGAGAATGTCAGTGTAATTACAAACTGGTTTAGCCTAGCCAGGTTAGACTAACCTGCAAAGGTTGACTCAATTCAGGCTTAGGCTTTTTGAATGTCTGTCTCCAGCCTCTATGCCAGTTTCCCCATCTGAAAAAACACATCTAGCAGCCACAAAGGAATGTTCAGACTTTTGGACAAATGGAAAATGTTGAAATTCTTGGACAGAAAGCCTACAGAAAGGCAAGATATTTAGTTTTCCTTTGTTTGCTCCAATTCAAAATTTGACATTAGAGGAACATATTGACTTTTCTTTTGGAAACCTCTTAAATTCTGTTGGATTATTCTGGGGAATGGAAAATACTCATAAGATTTCAGCTTTCAGCAACTTTTTGTGGACTGACCTGGAAGAAACATCTGGAAGATATGAGACTGAAGCTGAGTCCATAGAGGCCCACAAAGAAGCAGTAAGAGGCACAAACAGATCCAAACTAGTGGAAGGTGGTTATCTGCATGCCCTACATTTATTTCTGTCTTCAGTGCCAAGGCTTTATCCTGGCCTCAAGCTTTATTGGAGAGAACTTAAAATGAGACGTTGCTGGGTGGAGTATAAGCACTTTTTTGGGCTGTGAAATATAAAATCTGATATTTAGAAGCTGAAAGTGCTCCAGGCACTGTGTGACTCCTCAGGAATTGCAAAGGAGACTTACAGACTAGTCAACAACAATGACACTATATATTCTGAGCCCTCTTTCAGATATAACAAAAACTTTGGTACATACATGTGACTGGGGGAAAATCACCATCAACCCCATGTCTTAGGTATTGCTCAAGGGCCCAACCCTGCAAACATTTCCTACCACATCTCCACTTCCTATTAGAAAAGTCCCACTAACCTCAGTGGAAATACATCTGTGAGTGAAGTGGCAAACCCAAGCAAATGTGTGCAGAATCTGGTCCTCTAACTGGATTCTTTGGGCCAGAGAATGTATCTTAACTCGTGCTTTCAAAGGGCTACTGTACAGAGACACAGGGATGTGGAATGAAAAATAATGGAAACACAGCTCATCAGTTAGAAAGGTACTATCATCTCCAGTAGGTATATGCAAAGTCCTAAATATGTTTTACTGCTCCACAAAGAACAAGTGGGCATATAGGGAAGAGGACCCATAAGAATTTCTTGCTGGCAAAAGGAAAATGTAAAAAAAGATGCTTGCGTGTCTTAAAGCTAAGCTCAGGGACAGGAAAGAGCAGTTAAGTTTGTTTCATAAGTGGAAAACCCCTGGGATCTTTGTAGGAGAATCCAATGATTTATAATGGGCTAAATATTTTATTTTGCAGGTTTGGAGATAAAGAGAAATACAATTGCACTGTTTGCTAAGTCCATGACAAAGTGTGTGGCTCCAAGCAACACAGAGAAAGAAACTCTGGTGAATATGTGAATTCCAAACAGAGAATAAATCTCTAAATTAACTCAAGAAAATTTGGCACTAAAATCCCTATTCAGTGCTTACTTCCCATTGGACATGTCTCTACATGGCGCTGTCCAGTGACGCTGCTACGGCACCATGCTTTAGTACTTCCTTTTGGAAGTACTGCCCTTTTGGAAGTACTAAAGCATGGCACAGTACAGATGGTTACTGCGCTGTGTGCACAGCGCACGGTTAGATTTCGTCACTAAGTGACTGTAGCTGTATGCTATACTGGGGGGAAGCACGCCTGGGTCTACACATGCTCACCGGGGGAGCACGCCACTACAGTGTTGTAGCTGGCGATCATATGTAGACCCATGTGGTTGCTACATCATTGTAGCCTGCCATATGGCGATGTAGCGTGTCGCTATGTCACTGTAGGGCGATCTGTAGACATGACCATTGTTGCACATGCTATTATTTACCCAACAGTAAAAGAAGAAGTGAAACATACCTTTATATCTTCTTCTGGCCAGGAGTTGAGCATGGCTGCAATATGGCCTTTGTCATGAATGGTGATAAACAGCCCACTGTGGAACGAAAACAAAAGCAAACCAGTTGTAAGAAAATAGGAGACTATGTAGTGGATGATTTACTGAACCTGAACATGAAGAAGCTTCCTGGTAGTACTGTAGCAAAGGCCATGCCAGCAGTGCACTGGCACTGGGTGCCTTCACACAGGGCATGCCAAATCAAATGGAAGTATTGTTATATGGTAGAACGCAAGGGGGGCACTCTGCACAGGACCTACACTGGTTGCCAAAATGCCTGACTATGGCTTTGCTTATTGGCACGGAAAGAATGCCCCACAGTACTAGTTGATACTGTCACAACCCAGTGATTTTGGTGCCTCGGCACGATGGAATTTTCCTGCCACATGAGAGCCTCTTGCAAAGTAAAAGGTTTTCTGTTGCAGCAGAAAACCCCGGTGCAAGAGAGTTCCCGCCATTCGAATGCAAATTTGTGTCCCGCTATTGGCTAGTTCTAAATTATTCCTACGTGGCGGCTAGTAATTGGCTTGCTAGCCGTTTAAAATTTCGTGCGACTTCCGCCCAAGTCGGAGAACTTTGAGCACGCTGCAGAGTGCCTCTAAAGAAATCTGACTTGCGGCTGAGCTGATCGATAGACTGATCACCTATCGATTCTTCTCCCTGTCGCTGAGCGCAATCCCCGACGTACCCTTGCCCCGCCGACTTGATTTGTGGACGGATGAGCTAGCCTGAGCCCTGCCAGCTGGAACAACTAACATAGTTGTTCAGACAACCGGACTGTCAGCGTCGCAGCTACAAGCGGCATAAGTAAAGTTTTGCAACCATTAAGCCTTGTCCGCCTCTCTATCACCAGCCCGCCCAACGAACGAGTAATTACTAAATCACCTCGAGTCGGCTCTGGCCGTCCGAGACAGATACCAACTCTCTCTGTCTTTCTAGAATACCAACTGTGTGACAGAACCTAATCAGCTGCTTAACCTATTTAAAATGCTCATTAGTTTGGGCACAGGATCTGCCATATTATAGACTGTCCTGGCTTAGGTACCTAATTCTATGAGAGCGTTCGTGGAAATGAACACTGAGTGGGGGAAGGTGCAGCCCTCCAGCTGAAAGTGAGGTGCCCATGCCTCGCCCCTCTCTCCAGCATTTCCTCCTGGTCAGATGAGGTGTTTTTTTGTTCAGCTTGCTGCATTCTGTGGATCCCATTCCAATAAGTCTAACTTTCCCCTTGCATTGCACAGGAAACCTAGGCATCTCACTTTGACCTGTGGATTCCTCTAGGTGGGTAGACACTTAAGAATGAAGCTTTGTAAGGCTGATCTTAATTTTTTCTTCTGTATCAGAACCTAGGAGCCTAATCTGGGGGTAGTATGAGACAAATTTAGCATCAAATTTCTTAAATGGGTTTGCACAGGTGTTGTTTACCAGCCCTGTAAGCAGAGCTCAGCAAACAGCTCTGTCAATGACCCGCACATGCCAGAGTAGCTTCCAGTGCTCTCTCAAAACCACAGAGATTTTACAGGATTAAAGTTTATTTTTAATGACAGCAGATGGGACCCTGAATGCATAAAGGGAGCTGGAGAAAATGTGCAAGGTTGTGTCATTTTTTGCCAGTGACACTTTTCAGAGCAGAAATGCAATTACCACGGTACAGAGAGTCACTGAAACTGTCACTACACTGGGAACAGCCACAACTCATTCATGACAACCAGCCTCATACAAACAGTATCTGAACTGCAGAAAAAACAGGCTTGCCTAAAGAAAGAGAGGGTGGTTAGCCATGTTAGGCAGAAGTTAGACAGAAGGCAGGGCAAGGTGACACCTTAAAGACTCTCTGCATGGATTAGTCTATAAGGTGTTACCCTGACCTGCCTTGTGCTTTAAAGGAAAGAATCCAGCATAAGCAAAAGATTCCTACGTTGGATATGACTTTTCTGACACCACAATCTCCTAATTTTTTAACAAGAATGGGGTGAGAGACAGTGTCGAAGGCCTTCCTAATGTCCAGAAAGACTACATCCACCACAACACCTGAGTCCAAGGATTTTGTGACCTGGTCATAGAAGGCCACCAGGTTGGTCTGACAGGACCTGCCTCGAATGAACCCATGTTGGTTGCCCCTAAGCATACACTTCCCTGCTTGCCCCTCGCAGATGTGCACCTGGATAATTTTCTCAAAGAGCTTCCCCAGGACCGAGCTAAGACTAACAGGTCTATAATTTCCTGGGTCCTCTTTCCTCCCTTTTTTGAAAATGGGGACCACATTGGCCCTTTTCCAGTCCTCTGGCACCTCACCAGAGCACCACTAGTGCTTGTAAAGCCATGACCTGTTCCCTGCTCAGAAAAACGGAGGCAAAGAAATTGTTAAATAGGCTAGTTTTGTCATCTGGTGAGACCACCAGATTTCCAAGCGTGTCCTGCAGAGGCCCCACGTTACCCAGTACCTTCTTTTTACCTCCTATGTATTTAAAAAAGGACTTCTTGTTATCCTTGATCCAGGTCACTAGTCCCAGTTCCATCTCTGTCTTAGCTTTCCTAACAGCCCCGCTACAATCCCATGCAATGGAGGTACAATCCTCCTTGGTGATGGCCCCTCCCTTCCATTGGGTGTATGCCTCCTTCTTGGCTGTGAGATGTCTGTGGATGCTTCTGGTGAGCCTTGGGGGCTTTTGAGCACTCTTGCCCACTTTGATTTGTGTTGGGATTGCCACCCTTTGGGCTTGGAGGATTGTCTCCTTCAGGAACGACCACTCTTCTTGGACTCCCAACTCCCCAGGACCTCAGTGCCCCCCCCCTCCCAGTTTGCTTAGCTCAATGAAATCCACCCTCCTGAAGTCCAGGGCTGCTGCCTTGCTGCAGGCCTTTGCCACCTTGCGCTGGATGGTGAGTTCCAATAGGCGATGATCGCTATCGCCAGGTGGTCAAGCACCTGCAGTCCTCTCACCAGGTCGTCGCTTGTGGCCATGACCAGGTCTAACAAGGCATTTCCCCTGGTGGGACTGTGCCCCTCCTGGGTTAGATGGAGGTCCTGTATCCCAGCTAGGAACCTACATGAGCAGTCAGACCTGGCTGACTGCTCTTCCCAGCAAATGTCTGGATAGTTTAGGTCACCTATGATGACCACATCCCTTGACTTAACTGCCTCTGTGAGCTGACCTGAGAATTCCCAGCTCTTCTCCCTGGTTGGGTGGTCTGTAGTAGACCCCCACCATTAAGTCCCTTTCCCCTCGACCCCCTTGTATTCTGACCCAGAGCACTTTGTTGTGCCCCTCCTCTGACCCAGTGCTGCTCGCTGAGGATGTGAATTGTTCTTTGACGTAGAGCCCCACACCTCTGCCTTTCCTCCCCGTTCTATCCCTCCTGTACAGCCTATAGACCTTAATGTTGTGTAGGCATGGCTCCAATTTTCAATTGTGAATGGGTTTCAGGGCAATAAATTATGGCATTGTTAATAGATTCTGCTCCTTCACAGTCACTGAAATGTGCACTTGATTTGAGCAGGTCTAGGCCATGCGTCTCAGCTCTTCCACATGCCATCTTATGGAGTGGGAGACAGGAGACCTAGGTTTCAGATTTCTCTCTCACACAGACTTCCTGTGTGTCCTTATGCAATTTCCTCAGTCTCTTTGTGCTTCAGGTCCTTAATACCCAGACAATACTGAGACCCAGTTGTCCAATTGTCCAATGCCCAGACAAACACAATTCCAATCTGATCGGTGCCTAAGCTTCTGTGCTTGATGTATCTATCTTCAGGGTAACCCCTTTTGCCACCTGGTTTAGGTACTACTCAAGCCTTGCCAGTTTGGGTTTCACTCCTCTTAATGGCTTACTTGCATTTATCTGTGATAAAAGACAGCTGTCACACTCATCAGCTTCAACAAGGGGTGTAACCAAATGAGGCTTAACAATATAAGTTAGGGTACTGGTCCAGTAGCATGGGCACCAGCTTAGGACAGGTGACAAGTCTGAGTTCAAGTCCATGCCTTTGGACAAGTCATATGAGGCCAGGTTTTTAAAGAGTTTGATGTGCTAAAGAGGCAGATAGGACCCTAGCTGGATTTCAGAAAACAGTTAGGTGTCTATCTGCATCCTTAACACGGAAGGCAGTCTGTATCCGAGCTTCCCATCTGTAAAATGGGATTAATAGCACTCCTCTATCTCAAAACAACGTAGAAAAGAAGCCTGGTATCATGGTGATAGGGGGACATACATATCCACAGCATGTAACAGAGTGTAATAAGACTCTTGGAAGTAATATTCTCCACTCAGTGAAGCTCTAAATTGGAGATCACAGGACTGGAAGGGATACTCATGAGGTCATCTAGCACGGCCCCTGTTCAAGTTAAGACCATCCATGACTAAAGCATCTAGTCAAATATCCATGGAGGGAGATCCCACAACTTCCCTGGGTAGCCTGTTCCAGTGTTTAACTACTTCATAGTGAGGAAGTTGCTCCTAGTACCCAAACTAAATTTCCTCTGCTGCAGTCTGAGGCCATCGATTTCAGCCTTATCCCCTATGGCTGCAGAGTCTATTTCCATCTTGTCCACACACCCGAGAAGAACATTTTTCATCTACATCTCAGAGGCACCCGGCTTCTGCTGCCGCCCCCTTGTTGGTGTTCTCCTTTTGATTCCATTCAGGAACCTGCTTTTTAAACGAACTATGATGCCAAATATTTCCACCTGCTTTCAGTTACTTATCACGTGGGCCAACTGAAAAATTTTGCTGTCACTTAACATTTTTTAAACTATGACAATGTCCTTAGCACTGGAAAAAACCCAAAAATGAAATCTTCACCCTCAACAGCTTAGTCTTCAACAAAACCAAACCAAACCAAACCAAACCAAACCAAACCAAACCAAAAGGCAGGGTGTACTGGAAGCCCAGAGGAGGGAACAACAGACATTGCTCATGTTTTCTAGAGTGATGTTTGGAGAGGTTCTCTTCTTGTAGGACTCCTGGAAGAAAGTTGCAAAATTTATCAGATGTTTTCAAATACAAATGTTCTTCCATGCTTTGTTTAATGGGATGCTATT